CGCCAGGGCCTCTGCAGCAGATCGCCTGGACTGACTCCCAGCGCTGGCTTCCAGGAGGGCGAATCAAGCTCAAGGCCGAGGCCCAGGCTGAGGCCCAGGCGTCACAGAGTGTCACTGTCTTGGTCTGTTTTGTGCCGCTGTGACAGATCGCACTGGCGGGGTTACTTGTGATGAACAGAAGGTTATTTGGCTCACGGTTCTGAAGGCTGGAAGTCCAAGGTGGAGGGCCCGTGTTTGTGAGCATCTTTCTGCTGCATCCTCCCAACACGGTCGTGGGGGATTAAGCTTCCAGCATGGGGGGGGGCACATTCCAGACAGAGCCACCTCCTCATGGGCACAGTGGCAAAAGGGCAGGTGGCTGGGGTCCATCTTTGGAAACCCCAGCTCTACCGTGGGCCAGGCCCTCTTCCGGGACCTGTAACAGAAAACTGAATAAAAAAAGATACCAAAACCCAAGATGTCTAGACGTGTCATCTGGTGGCGGGAGAGCCAGGGTCTCCCTAAGTTGGCCAGGCCGGACTGAAGCTTGGGGTCCTCCCGCCTCAGCCTCTTGAGCAGCTGGGATTCCAGGGGAGCCCCCCGCACCCTGCAAACGTCAGGGTTTCAGAGTGCACAGTGGAGTGACGCTCAGTGTGCTCACTGGGAGGCTCAAATGCTCCCACGGCTCGTTCCAGAACATTCCCACAGCCTCAGAAAGGAAACCTCATGGCCCTTAGCAAGGATCCCCGCCCCTCCCCTGCCCCCACCAAAGGGAAGGGCACTAACGCACTCTGGCCTCTCGCCTGCCCTTCTGGGCGCGACATACAAATGCGATCCGAAGCCTGTGGCCACCGTGGCTGGCTTCTGTCACTTGCGTGTGCTCTCCGGACCCTCCCCACTGCAGCCTGGACCGACCCGTTCCTTTTTATCGGGCAGAAGACTGTAATATGCATCGACCACGCCTCGTTGGCCCGCGCCCCAGCTCAGGGACACCAGGTGACCCCCACTTCTTGACTATTCTGGAGTCTGTGCGACTTCTTGCAGGAGCATGTGTTTTCAATTCTTCTGGGGAAGGAGCTTGGTCATGGGGTAGCTGCCGCCTTCCTCCCGAGGAACTTCCAGGCTGGTTTCCAGAGCAACCGCACAGCGGCACCTTCCACCCGGCTGTGCCCTGCTCCACTTCCTCCCCACGCTCCTGGCCCCACCTCCGGGATCACAGCCAGCGGGTGGACGCAGGGTGGTCCAGGGGAGGGTGGTCCAGGGGAGGGTGCCGAGCAGGGGAGGACCCCTCGGAGGAGGAGACTGAAGGGGAGCAGGCCTGGGGACCAGCGCGCAGGCTCCTGCAGGGGTCCCAGCAAGAGATGGCGCCCTGTGGCGGGGCGGCAGCGGGCAGGGAGGTTTAGCAGGGCCAGCCCCTGTCTGTCTGGGCCTGCCCAGCTGGGAGCTTGATCAGCCTCTGGGGAAGGTGGAGGAACACAGCCTCGTCTACCCGTGTTAACGATGCCCACCAGGACTGGGGTGTGGCTCAGGGGCCGAGCGCTTGCCAGGACAGGCCCCTGGCTCCGTCCCCCGCACTGCAAAACAGAAGCCTACTCGCCGTCCCCGTAATGCCCGGGTGTCACTTAGAGCAAGCTCTTTGCCCCTTCCCCTGGGACTGCAGCAGTCTATGTCCCAGGAGTCACCAAGAGCTGCAGGGACACTCGTCTTGCTTTCAGGCTGGTTAAAGAGGCATGTGGGCCGCAGCCTGTGGGACCCATTTCTGAGGCCACTTAGGGGATTATCTTGAGAGAAAATCGTCCCAAGAGTGATCTGTGGGCCTGCTGGGGTGGCCGATCCCAGCTCCTTTCTGTGGGCCAGGAATGTCTGGGGCTTGTTCCTCCTGAAGCCAGCCAAACAGGCGGCAAGGACATTCTTGGCCCTTCCTGCTCCTGGGCACCGCCCTGGGCCCCAGGAGCTGAGGTTGGGGGGAGCGACCACAGCCCACAGGCAGCAATGAAGGGACACGTCTCCCCCCGACCCCTCCCCAGAGCATCCCGGTGGCTACAGACTGTAAGCTGTGGCCTGGCACGTGGCCCACACCTGCAGTCACAGTTACCCAGGAGGCTGAGGCAGGAGCACTCGAGTTCAAGGCCAGCCTCAGCACAGAGCAAGGCTGCCAAAAATAAGAAGGCCGGGGTGTGGCTCAGCGTTAGAGCACTGGCTTAGCACGAGCGGGGGCCCTGAGTTCCATCCCCAGGACTGCAAAAGTCAAAGACAACAAACAAAACACGCCCCCCGCCCCATAAGACCTTCAGCTCTAGGTCATATTGCTCAGAGTCAAATTCTGGCTTTGGTATTTATTAGCTGTGTGACCTTGAGCAGGTGACTTAATGTTTCTGATCCCCTGTTCCTCAGTCCATTAAAAAGGGGAAAATAATAGCACCCAACTAGAGGGTTCTTCTGGGAATCGAGTGGGGTCGTCTCTACCGAGTGATCAGCCATTGCTTCTATCTCTCGGGAAAGAGGAGCATAACACAGCTGTCCCTTCTGTGCCTGTGTGTGTCAGCATCTGCTGAATGATTCAGTCACACTTTTGGTATCTGGTCAACCTCCTGACAACCCTGCCACCAGGACTGGGGATGTGGCTCAGGTATGGGTAGGCTGGTTCCTGTCGTAGGTGAGCCACCAAAACACACAAGTGGGGCCACTGGGTTAGGTCCCAGGCCAGCAGAGGAGGCGGCGGCCTTGGCACAGAGGACAGACTTGAACTTGCCCTGTCTGGTCTTTGTCCTCTCCTCTCTTCTCTCTGCAGTGCTGGGACCCCAGGGGCATTTGACCACTGAGCCACGTCCCCAGTCCTGTTTTGTATTTTATTTACAGACAGGGTCTCACTGAGTTGCTTAGTGCCTTGCTGTTGCTGAGGCTAACTTTGAACTTGCGATTCTCCTGCCTCAGCCTCCCGAGCCACTGGGATTACAGGCGTGTGCCACCACGCCCGCCCCCCAGGGTCTTGCACAGACTAGGTACATACTTTACCACTGAGCTCCAGCTGGCCCCGAGGCCTGGTCCTTTCTGAACTGGACTGTGGAGGTTGGGAGCTCGGGTGCATCTTGGGAAGGAGGCTCCCTTTGGTGGCTACAGGCCTCCGTGGCCCCGTGGGTCTCTTCCGAGGTGTGCCAGCTGGGGTCTGGGTTGTTTGCATCCGGGCTCCTGGGGCTCTCCGGCAGCCCCTGCCCCCTCCCATCCCTCTCATTTCTCTTTGGATCCAAAGAAACATCCCACCTTCCCCTTCTGCCCTCGGCCTGTCTTTCTCCCTAGCGTGGTGATGAGGTGACGTCACTGACCACAGTTTTATTTTCTGGGACCAGGGGATCTTCTTTCGTGCCCCCCCGGCCCCTGCTCCTGTCAAGCGTCCCTGCGGCAGCCCAGAATACTCCCAGCTGTGAGATGAAGGTTCCAGAGTTTAAAATTGCAACTGGGTACTATTTATACTCCAGCCGGAAGGAGGCTTTTGTGCAGCGAGTGGCTTATTTTGTTGTGGCAGCGATGGCTCACGCCAGAGGCAGGCGCTGGGCTCCGTTCAAACCTCGGTGGGGACAAGTGGGTGGCGGGCAGTCTTCAGGAGTGGGATGGCCCCAGCCTGCCCAGCAGCCTCTGGTCACACGTCCCCTGCAGGGCCCTGTGGTCAGTGGAGAAAGGGCCCATGTTCGGGGGAGCCTTCTTGCTCTGTGCCCGCTAATTAAACGGCTGCAGCCTAAATGGGCTCTTTTTTTTTTTTTTAGAGAGAGAGAGAGAGAGAGAATTTTAACATTTATTTTTTAGTTTTCGGCAGACACAACATCTCTGTATGTGGTGCTGAGGATCGAACCCGGGCCGCACGCATGCCAGGCGAGTGCGCTACCACTTGAGCCACATCCCCAGCCCCTAAACGGCTCTTTATAGGTCAGGAAAGTAGTGCAGGCTCGAGGGGTGAAGGCCGCACAGGTGAGTAGGCAGCGGCTTCGTAGGCCGGCACTGCTCCTGTTTGGTTTGGCCCGTGGGGTGTTAAAAGACTCTTTTTTTTTGAACCTATGCCCATATTTAATAATTGGGACCTTTCCTATGACATTAGAATTTCTTGACAGATGTTGAGACTTGGCCAACCTCGGCCTGTGTTTCCTGACAGTTGCTTGAGACCTGGGTGAGCGCCTTTGAGAGGAGCCCAAGCCGGTATGTTCTCTCGCTCGCTTTCTCTTTTCAGTTCTGGGGCTGGAACCCAGAGCCTTGTGCATGCCAAGCCTGCACTCCACCCCTGACCACTCCCTCAGCATCCCAGTGTCTTGGACCCAACAACTGTTGAGCTTCAGACCCTCAGAGAGCCTAAGACCTTCAGGTCTCCTTTGTCAGGCCCACTCCTCAGGGCTGAGCAAGCATGGTGACAGGGGTGCAGACAACCCTCAGGATGCCCGGTTAAACCTGAACTTCCAGTAAATAACGACTTCTTGATGGGCACATCCGGGGCCTTCTCTGTTGAGCGGTTTTGTACACAGTTCTACAGAACTGCCCATGCTACACCTGTGCAGCTTATGCCACTTCTCTGAGGCTGCTGGGACATGCCAAGGTGCTTATCAGAGCAGGCTATGAGATGGGGGACTCCAACCTGCCTTAGACCCCTGGTCCAGCCTCTTGGTAACTGTGGGACCTTGGGCAGGTTACCTTACCTCTCTGAGCCTTGGTTTCCTCGTCTGTACCACAGGGAGGACAAGGATGGCTGTGTTAACTCCTGCTAGTACTTATGTGTCTCATCTCCACTGAACGGTGCAGAGTAGATGGCCACTGGCCTTGGCCAGTCCCCTGTGGCCGGGAGTCAAGAGGGCTGCAGTTCATTGCTACTGAAACAAGCCTGCAGAGGTTTGAGGAGGGAAGGGTCCGGGAGGGCCAGGGCAGGTGACCTAAGGCTTAGTTTGCTTAACCAAAAATAAATAAGCAAAGGCAAGAAGCAGCGAGGAAGGGTGCCCGTCTCCCTGGAAACCACCGCTGGCCGCAGGACCTTCTCGTTCCAGGCGCGGGCGGTGGAGGCGGCCATCGAGGGGCTACTCGTGGCGCTGGAGGACTTCAGCCTGGTGACCTGGTGAGTGGCCGCGAGGCGCGGGTGGAGCCAGGCCCGCGGCAGGGGCGACCCGCTCGGGCAGCGCTGTCCCGCCCAGGTGCCGCCCGGCGGCCGTCTTGACCCCTCTCCCCGGGGCCTGCAGGAGGCGCGGCGCGGCCACGAGGTGGCGCCCTGGAGAGGCCACGCGGCGGGCGGGGGGGGGGGGGGGAGCGCTCTATTAACTCCCCCGCGGGGACCGGGGACGGGGACAGGGGAGGGCCCAGCGGGCGGCCGGGAGGAGCCCTCTGTCCCTCTGCCCTGCCGTGCGCCCCCCTCTGCACCCGGCCCGGGCAGGGAAACGTTGCCGAGGACCAGCCCTGTCCACCAGCGGGCGTGCAGCCCTGGGGGGCCATGGTGGAATTTTCTAGAAGATTCCAAGTTCAGTGAAGGCAAACCAGGAACCCAGGGTGGGGGCTTCTGCCGGGAGGTCCAGAGCACCCCGTCTTGTGGCCAGGTCCCCCTTCCCCCAGAGTGGACAAAGGCTGCCAGGCTGGGCCTGTCCAGGAGACCTAGGGCCCTGTGAAGCTCAGGGTCCACAGCCAGGTGTTAGAGGGTGCCCAGGGGGTGACAGTGACCACAGCCCCAGACGTACACCGAGCACCAGCTTTGTGCCAGGCACAGGCATCTCGGTGCCCACCCTGGGCCAGCCTCTGGGGACACTGTTGGGAACAAGATGGGAACCGGCCCAGGAACCAGGTTCTCATGCAGAGGTGGCTCAACCTGGCGGCAAGGTGACCAGCAGGACTTTTTACAGCCAAATAACCTTCTTCCTCACAAGGTTGGCCCTTCTCCTGCCCAGGCCCCAAGATGAGCTGGGGACAGAGTCAGATCCATCCCCAGCCCCTGGGCCCTGTCCACGGAGGTGGAGGTCCACCAGCCAGACCAGCCAGAGGGTGATGTGAGGCCCGGGGGTCCCAGAGCAGAGGCTGTCAGGGCCCCCTGGGGAACGGGAGGCTTACAGAGCAGGCGGCCTTGGATTTGGGGCTTGGGGGAGGAACAGCAGAGAAGGTGGGTCCGAAGACGGTGCAGACTGATGACCAAGGACATTGCGTCCTCACCTCCCCACCCATCCCCGGGCCTCCTGTGGAAGGAGGCCCCAGGCAGCCTGAGAGATGAGGAGAGCCGGGGCGGGAGTCCATGTGGACAGAGGTCACACCACCGCCCAGTCCTGGAAAGCCGGCCGGGTGGTGGGAACTCTGGGTACCGCCAGGAGCCTCGAGACTGCAGGCAGCACAGGGAGGTCCCCCAACCCCGAGCGAAGCCCTGAATACGGAGGTTGGGCACAGATGACTCCCGGCCCAGGGCTGCCAACAGCTATGTTGATGTTTCTGGGGACAAAAAGGAATCAGCTACTGATATTTTTAGAATTTCATGCCCAAAGTCTGGATTTCTGGCTTCTCTTGGAGAAATGGAGATCTGGTCCCCCTGGGGGGCCTGTCCCCTCACCCCCTGCAAGCATCTGCCCCTGTGGGTGGCAAGTGTGACCCACCCCAGGGATGGCCACCCTGAGCTTCTGTGTGTTGTGACAGGGTCCCCGTTCCAGGACATGGAGGGAGCGGGTCCCCTGTGGCAGCGAGACTGCCTCAGGGTATCTGCATAAGGGATGTGCCCAGCCTGCTTGTCCACCCACGGTGCCTCTGTGGCTCCTGGGGGCATTTGGGTTCACAGTCCCTCACCTGTGTTCTGTGTAGTGCCACAGATGTCCCCGACTGTCCAGGCCTGGCGTGCCAGTGCGTGTGCCCTGTGTCAGCAGGTTCCATGGCTGTGGAGGGGCATCAGTTGTCAGCCTGAGGATGGGACCTCCTTCTCTTTATAACTGCTCTAAAATCTAAGGTAGGGATGAGTGGGGACCTGCAGGGAGCAGGTGATGTCATGACCTCTCATGGTCCCCAGCTCCTCTCAGCCTTCAGAAACACTGATGAGTCCCGAGGTCCCAGAGTGGCCTGGCTGGCGCTGGGTGGCTTGTGGAGAAGCCTCGTCCTGTTAAGACCAGGCCACCAGAGACCGAAGCCCAGCTTCCTTTCTGATGTGTTAATCTGTCCACCAGCCTGTCCTTGGTCCCCGTCTGTGACTGAAATTCACTACTCTGTCCAGGGACCTGTTCTGTTAGTACCCACTGTTGGTACACGAAGGTTGGGTCTGTGGGCCGCCAGGCACACCTCGGGCTTTACCTCTCGGAACCTCGTTTTCTCCTCTGTAACGTGGAGATGATGGCTCCTGTGGTCACAGCCTGAAACTTAGCGGTATAAAACAGCAGCAGATGTGGAGTACCTCAGGGCACAGAGGGGACAGCTCATCAGAGCCCCACGGCACTGCTGCCTGTCCACGTGGCTGCTTGGGCTTCCTCACTGCATGGCCGTCGGGCCACCATAGGCAGGAAGTGGAGTCTGTCAGGTACCATGAGGCCCGGATATGGAAACTGACACAGGGTCCCTTCCGTCATACTTTATTGGTGAAAGTAACCACAGAGCCCACCAAGAACCAAAGGTGTGGAAGGGTGTGGACCCCCGCTTCATGGAGGAATGCGGCATCCCAGTCTGCTGTGACCTGCATTGAACAGCTGAGACAGAGGTGTGCGCTTTATTCGTGTCACTAGAATGGCTGAGATTTTAAAACCACCAAGATAGCAAGTGTTCACAAGGATGAAGCACAACTGAAGCTCACCCATTACCCGCGGACATGCAAAACAGTAGGGCTGCTTCGGAAGTGTATCTCATAAAGTCAAACATCCGCTCATCTACATCCTGGTCTTCCTAATCTGAGGCCATTATAAAACACAAATGAAAACCAGTGTCCACACAAAGGCTCAGCCACATATGCTTGTAGCAGCCCTGTTCCAAAGACCACAGACTGGGAGAAGCAGCCCCAATGACCATCAGCAAAGTGGTGGGGAATCGATGGTTTATGGAAATACTACTCAGCAATGAAAAAGGTGGGGGCTCCTGTACCCAGCCACATAGACGAGTCTCGCAGGCACGCTGTTGAGAGGGGGAAGCCAGACATGAGGCACTCTGGGCCACTCATTCCTGGGAAGTCCAGAAAGGCATGCTGATCGACAGTGTCAGCACTCGAGGGAGTTCGGCTTTGGGCGGGAGGTTGTGGCTGGGTAGAGGCAGGGAGGACTTCCCGGGTGATGGGTGTGTTCTGCCTCTTGCCCTGGTTGTGATCACGCAGAGGTGAGCACATGTTCAAATCCTCGGGTCGCCCACTGAAGACCTGGCCCTTCATGTCGTCCACACTTAATTAACCATTTCTGAGCACAGTGTCGGCCACACATCCAGGACCCATAAACGGCTGCTGCTCGTCCCTGTTACCCAGGCAGAGAGGCCCGGGCAGTGAGGTTCTCCAGTGACGGGATCTGAAGGGCCTTCCAGCTCCTGGCCCTGGGGGCCGCCTCAGGCCCACCCCGGGGAGCCGACGGCCTGCTCACAGGCAGGAAAGTCCCTGCTGGCCGAGGCCCAGCAGTTGCATTAGGAATGTGCCTGGGGTCACGTGCCGTGGCTCTCCTTCCTGGGGGCACCGAAAGGTCCTGCTCTGTGATGACATCAGCACCTGCTGCTGGACACGTGGGAGGGAGGACAGGCTGGGGAAGGGTCTGCCAGGCCTCCGGGCTGACAGACCTGCTGAGTGTGTGTCCTGGCAGAGCCCCAGAGAGCGCGGATCTTCCGTCACCTCCGCTCTCCTCAGAGTGCAGACTCAGATGCCGCCGCGTGCTGCTGTGAAGGGGGTCGGGTGTGACCAAAGAGATGTGCCGCTTTCCTCTGACTGTCTTCCAAGAAGAAAGTGCCCCTGTAGCCACGGACTCCACGGACTCCACGTTAGGGACACTCTGGGGAGTGGTGGGCTCTGTGGTTAACCCAAGGGGACCCCTGTCAGCTCCAGCGGATTGTCACTGTGTGGGGCACTGGCGGGCTCAGTGTGACCAGCTCTTTTGACAAGAAACTGGAAATCAGGGCTTCCCAGGGAAGCAGCCTGGCTCTGAGATCTTGGCCTCGCTTGTTGGGCTGTGGGTCTTGGCTTCGGGTGTGACCGGGCAGATGTGACAGGGCCCGCAGAAGCTGCCTGCAGACCCGTGGGCACGTGGCCTGGGACCACCCTGATTGGAGTCCCGGCCCCCCACTGCCTCGCTCCCTTGTTTCTCTGGGTCTGTTTTGTCACCTGCAGGATGAGGCTGGGGTGGACCAGTGCCTGCTTCAGAGGGTCTGTCCCCGGCACATGGACAGCGTGCAGATGTGGCCTGGGGGTTTCGTGCCCTCTCTGCTGGCCTACACTGAATGCCCCTGAAGTGGGCTCTCATGTCCCCAGCCCACGCGGGAACCCTATAGGTTCGGGGCTCTCCCCCCCACCCTGGGACCCCGGCCGGCCCTAAGTTACTGCGGCAGGCCCTGCCCTCTTGCCTGCAGCCTCAGCCCAGGAGACACGGCCTCCTGAGGGCCTCTTGCTCAGTCCACGGCCCCTCTGTCCTTCAGGTTTAGGGAAGGGGGGGCGGTTCCTGGATCCTCTTCACTGCCCCCCCAGACCAGCCCCCATCTCCCCACCCCATCTGCCGCTTTAGAATCGACAGAAGCCCTGGCGGTTGTGGCCGGACCTTGCCACAGAGGGGTCGTCTGCCCTCGGCTGCGTCAGGGGTCAGGGGTCAGGGGTCGTCGCTGGCCCTGTGGAGGGCAGCAGCTCCTAGGGAATGGCCTTGGGAGGAAAGGGAGGGTCTGAGGGCTTTTCCCTGTCCCAGGTGACAGATGAGGGGGGCAGGGACAGCACGGGAGGGTGGGGACTGTGACGGAGCCCAGGCTGCATCTGGAGCCTGGCTGGTGGCACCGAAGCCATTCACGGCCGAAGATGAGACCTGAGCCTTGGATTTCAAACCGTCCTTGCGTTCTGTCTTGGGCTGGTTTTCTATTTACAGACATTTCGAAGCTCTCTCAGACTGTCTCCCCCGACCCGGTGTGTGTCTGGCCGGTGAGCGGGCAGCGGCGGGTGCTGCCTCTGCTCGGCTCCCACCGACCCCTCCTCCTGCCCCGGGCCAGCCTCCGGTGCCCCAGGGCACAGTGGCGTGTCCCCTGGGTCCCTCCGGCTGGGGCAGTGTTGGTCTCTCTCTTGCTCCTCCTGGTTCCACAGTGTGGTGACGGAGCGGTCAGGTGTCCGGTAGATGGTCCCTGATTTGGGTTTCCCGTGGTGGGACCGGGGTTTGGTTCAGAGCACCACGGGGAGGGGCCTTCTCCTCACTCTGCCGGGGGCCCACGCGGCATCGTGCTGGTATGGCCTCGGCTGCCCGTCTGAGGGGACACTGCAGGTTCCCCTCCTGGAAACTCCCTGCTCCCCCCGTTTCCGTGTCCTGTCCCTGGGTGCCTCTCTCCCTCGAGCCTGCCCGGGTTCCTCGGTGTCCTTGGGGACTGGTTCCAGGAGGCTCGCATCCCTGATGTCAAGTGGCTTAGCACTTGCACGTGGCCTGTCCCCACCCTCCGGGGACTTTATTTTTTTAATGCAGAGCTGGGTTGGGACCTGAGCCTGTACCTCCGAGCCCCACGCAGCCCTCCGGTTACTTCAGATCGTCCCTCGGTGACTCTGATGCCTAATGCGGTGCCCGAGCCACGGCGGTGCCTGTGCCCTCCTGTCTAGAGAGCGAGGAGGACATCGTTCGCGCTGGGCACAGACAGGTTTTGTCTTAGTATTTTGACGGGTGGTTGATGGACACCAGATGTGTGGCCACGGGTGTGGAGGGCGCCTGCATTATCGGCTTTGGGTTAGGATCCAGTGACACGTTATCATTTGTCACTAGAGTGTTCCCGCCTGGCTGTTGCTCTCCCAGGCTGGCCCCTGTGCCCTTTGACATGTCCCCGGCCTTGTTCCCGACTGTGGTACGGAGGTGCCCCAGGCTCATCTTACATGTTCCCTGTCCAGCCCTGGGACCACCCATGTCTCTGCTCAATGCTAAAGTTGGAAACTTAATACCAGAACCCTTGGGCCGGGTGGGTGCCTTGGAGGGCCACGTTCACTCACTGGTGGTCCCGTGTACCCCAGGGGTCTGCGGGAGAAGCCCTGTTCACATCCTCATCTTACAGATGAGCAAACTGAGGCTGGGGCGGGCAGGGACTGGCCTGGGGTCCTGGAGAAGGCGGGGGTAGGCCCGAGGCCACAGCCTGCTGCCACATGCACCCTCAGGACTGATCTTTGGCTCCGTGGAATCGGCATGAGAAAGAGGCGTCCCCGAGAGTGCTGGGCTCGGAGCCAGGTGCCCAGGAGATGGTGGCACCATGACCAGAGCTGAATTCAAACATCGTCCTGAGCCCCAAGTCCAGCTCCTACTGTGTCCACTGGTGTTCCTCGGACCGCGGGCCCCAGAACCTGACTCCGGTGTCCGAGGAGCCTTGGCTGAAGGGATTCCGCCCCGCAGAGCAGGCTGCAGGGGGCATGGGGACAGCGTGTGACAGTCCTCCCCCAGTGGATCCCCAGTGTTGGAGAGCCGTGGGGATGCGACCGCAGGAAGGCAGACTCTCTCACGCACATGCAGAAGGTGGCTTGGCCTTGGCTCTGAAACAAAACGGAGGCTTCGGTGTCCCTCCGGCGATGACGGGAGGATGTGGCTGCTCAAAGTTCCCGGTCCCGTCTCCGGTCCTTTCAGGCTGAAGAAACTGAAGGTTAAATGAGATGGTTCAAGAAAGAACAGCCAACACCCACGCGTAGCGGGCGCCTCACCGGCGAGCTTCCTGGCTTGTGTGACGTCATTAATGGATATTAGTGACAGTCATCAACCCACTAGTTGGTTAATTCCAGCGCAATGAAAACTGGACTCGCCTCTGCTCTGGCTTAGAGAGGTGATTCCGAATCTTCCGTGTGCTCGAGGTCCGTGGTTTGCACATGAAGATGTCCAGCCTGGGCTCACGGCCCTGGGCTTGATTTTCGGTTCAGTGAATAATCCCTGGGTGAGTGGGGGTCCTGGGGGTGAGGTTGGTCCCCGTCTGGAACTCCACGTTGTCCTCGACTGGATGCTACGTGGCATCGTGGCCATCAGTGGGGCCTGTGTGGACCCCTGTGGCCCCGAGGCCGTAAGGAGGGTGCAGTGACGTGGCCTCACAAGCCGCTTTCTTTTTCAGATCAGGAGTGACACTTCACAGATCTTGGAGGAAAATGTCCCAGTCCTTAAGGCCAAAGTGACAGAAATGCGTGGCATCTATGCCAAAGTGGACCGGCTGGAGGTATGTCCAGGATAAGGGGGTTCCCTGTGACCGCAGGCTGGTCTGACCTTGAGAGTGTCGGCATCAGACCGGCGGGGAGCTGGGGGTGAAGGGGGAGTGCTTCGTGGTTTTTTTTTTAAACGACAAGAGTTTGCTTCCAACATTTAAAAATTGAGCTACTTTATATAAAAATCTGAATTTGAAGCTTCTTCTGAAAATCCAGAAGCACTGACAAACTGGGGTCCACATTTCTTTAAGTACTTTAATCTCCTTATTTTTCAAAGCATAAACACACTGGATGGGCACAGCCTAAGGACAATTCGGTGGATTTTCATGTGTCAGTCCCACATGAAGGTGACCCAGATGAGACCGAGCATCTGCAGGCCCTGGGCCCCCCCCCCCCCCCCCCCCCGCTCTCGCTCTCTGTCTCCCCCTCTCTCTCTCTCCTGGGTATTGAACGTGGGGCACTTTACCACCGAGCTCCATCCCCCATCCTTTTTGTTTGTTTTTTGGTTTTGTGACAGAATCCCCCTAAGTTGCTGAGGGTCTCACCAACTTGCTGAGGCTCGCCTCAAACTCGTGATCCCCCTGCCTCAGCCTCCTGAGTCGTTGCAATCTCATCAGGCTGCATTCTTGCATAGGTGCTCCCTTTGCCACAGTCCCCACCACGCCCTGTTGCCCCCCACTGACTCCTCTCCCCGTCTGGTACTTGGCTCCGCGTCCCTCCGCGTCCCCTCAGAGGCTCAGCATCTCATTCCCCCCGCTGCTGCTGCTCGGCCAGGCTGGTTCCCTCCCTGTCCCTGTCTCCCAGGGGAGGGGTGAGCCCGTTCCCTGGAGCCCACCACTGGTCATGTGAGGCCGGAGCCTCACCCCTCGTCCGTCCACGTGTGGTCCTCAGCCTGGGCCCTGGCCCCTTGCTCAGCAAAGGACCAGGAGACAGGGCTCTCAGTGGCCCAGGGGTCACCTGGCTGGAGGGCTGGGCCCTCAGAGCAGCAGAGGGAGGCAGCGAGGCGGTCAGTACTGACTTAGCAGAGACTTAACATTCTTGTCAGCAGAGAAGGAGCAGGGGTACAGTTAAAGCGATGCCCTTGGAAGGCTGATTCATTCACATCTCATTCCACGCGTTTGAGAGAGGAAAAGGAACTGAGAAGGTCTGTGCTGAGGCTCTCGCTGGCCGCCCGGCTGGCGGCCACTCCCTCCTGGACGTTCAGGCTACTGAGTGCCCCCAGGGGGCGGTCACAGCACAGCCAGGAGCACAGACCCGTCCTGCAGAGGAAGGCGCAGGGCCAGCATGTCCCTGATGGCTCCCTTGCTGCTGTAGCCAGTGACCGAAGGCTGGGTGGCTTCCGGCCCCAGTGCCACCTTCAGCCTGGAGGCCAGAAGCCCAGAGTGCCCCAGGGCTGGGCAGGTGCAGGTGTGTTCTTTCTGGGGCTCCAGGGAGTCTTTTCTCCTCCTCCATCTCCCAGCCTCTCCCACTCTGCCCCCCACTCCCTCGGGGGAGGACCCTCCTGGGGATGTGGGACCCTGGTGGCGCACGGTGATGGTCCAGGCCGGCAGCCTTGGCTAAGCCACCTGCCTGGTCTGTCTTGCCAGTAGCGTAGCCCGTTCCGGGGTCTGGGACAGAGTGTCTTGGGGGCCACCGCACACTGCTGACCACACACCCGGCCAGGCTGCTGCTGTGCAGGGAGGGGAGGCCGGGGAGGGTCTGCAGGCCCCTGGGGGGGAGCAGCCGCGGGCGGGAGGGCAGGGCCGGCACAGCTCAGGCAGAGGCCCGGGCAGGAAGGAGGCTGTGGCTCTGAAAGAGTCCCGGGGCCCAGGGCCATGTGATGGAGCAGGGCTGGGGACATGGGCACAGGAGCCAGGCTGCCCAGACCTTGCCAGCCGAGGCCTTTGTCCCCCAAGGGAAGGTGGAAGAGGGAGAGCACAGCCCGTGGCTGGTGTGCAGGTCCAGGGAGGGCGTCCAGGGCCTGGGCCTTGACCCACGGGGCCAGCAAGCTCTGCCGTGGCCGTCCTGCAGACGGCTCCGCCCATGAGAAGCCACTGGCACCCTCCCTCCCACCCTCCCGTTGTGGAAAACAAATATGTCTCCAGATGTCGCCAGAGGTCCCCTGGGGGGTGACTCCTGGCTTTCTGTGAGCCAGTGTGTGAGCCCCCATTTCCCTGCAAAAGGAGAATTGCTGCACGGGATGGTGTCAGGCCCACATGCTCCTGTGTTCAACGAGCGTCTGTTGACACCCCCCCTGACACGGTGCTGGGACACCTGAGGTGGGACCCTTGGTCTCCTGCTATCTGCTGGAGGAGCACCAGACAGGGACGCAGGATGGGTCTGACAGGGAGCTTTGGGAGCAGCCCAGGGGGCCGAGCAGAGCCAGAACGCAGGTCTTCCCTAGGATGGCCTTTCTGCTAAGGTCTGCAGCACGCCCTGGAGAACCCAGGCTGGGAACAGCCCGTGCAAAGGCCCGGGGGCAGGAAAGAGCAAAGCCCTTGGCTGTAGAGTTCCAGGTTAGGGATGGCACAGGACCATCAAAGGGGCTACTGTCCCTTTGCCCCTGAGAAAGTGCAAATTGATCACAGTAGCACCCCTTTATCTGTGTCTCACTTTCCATGGCTTCAGTTACCTGTGGTCAACCTCAGTCCAAAAATATCATGTAGAACGTTCTAGAAGCAAATACTTCATAAGTTTTACCTCTTGTGCCAGCCTGAGCTGGGTGATAAAAACTCATGCTGTCTACCCAGGCCACGTGCCACCCCCTCGTCCAGGGCACCCTGCTGTACAGGATTCCCACCTCTGGTGACGTGGCAGTCCCGACTGGCCCCTCGCAGGCTTGTGCTCCAGGACAGTGTGACACTCACAGTCATTTTACTGCCAGACATTGTTAGAATTGCTCCGTTTGCTATGAGCGGTTGGCGTCTCTGGCTGGGCCAAGGTGTCAAGTTTATTGTTAAGCGAGGACAGGAGAAAACAGAGCGCCCCCCGCGGGTCCCCAGGAGTGCAGCCCCTGTGGGGGGTCCTGTGTCCAGGGCACGCTGCTGTCTCACTGCAGGCCACCTTCTCAGGAAACCCCTCAGCAGCCCTGGGCCCGCAGGTCCAGCGTCCCTCTGCGGCCTGCCTGCCCTGGACTCCCCTCCAGGGGGGCCGAACCGCAGTGGCCTTCAGCGTCTGCTTTCCCTCAGTCACCCGACGCCCGCCTCACGGTGGGGTCACGACTTCCTTCTGTGTCCTGGCTGAGCCCTACCCCAGCCTGTGGGCGAGCCTGGGTCCACTGTCCATCATCAGTTGATGGACGTTGGGTGGCTTGGACTTGGCTGTGAGGAACAATGCTGCTGGACATCTGTGGGTGGGCGTTCGTGTGGGTCTTGTTTGGCGTGGAGTCAGGGCTGGGTGGAGGAGCTGTGGCTACGGGGACTCCTAGCACCTCCCAGCTGTGTCCCAAAGTGGCTGCCCTGTTACTCCAGCGGCCGGTCCCAAAAGTCTTGGTGGAGATTGTGAACAGGAGCCGGCGCTGCTGCGGGGCCTGGTGCTGGAAGGCCACCCCCATTCCCTGCTGGGAACAGCTGGGGTTGCGCGGTAACTGTCACCTTCCGCGGGGTGGGACTCTCTGGGCTGCCCTAGAGTCTCCCCAACATTGAGCCTGAGGGGCGCTTCCCGGCGTTGCTCAGAAAGTTCTCTGTGACCGGGTCCCCAAGGCTCCAAGAGGGCACGACTCCTGTAGCAGAGCTCGCATTTGCCGCCGGCCGACAGGAAACGTGGGACAGGGAAACAGGAGCCGTGAGAACCCCGCGGTCCCAGGGGCCGGTGCAGAGCCAGGCAGCCGGGGCTCGGGTCTGGCCATCCAGAGACCGCAGCCTCCCAGAGCCCGTGTCCTCGCCGGCCAGCTGGGGACGTGCCCTCGCCCCTCACGAGGTCAAGGGTGCAGTGAGCCGGAAGCCCTGCCTGGCACCACGCGGGCGTCAGGACAGGCAGTGACGAGGTGGCAGCTGTTGTCACTGAGAGAAGCAGCCTCGTCTGGAGTGACGGCCACGCTCTGCCTGCCAGCTGGGGGCCCCGGGTGACTGGCGAGTCAGTGGCATTCACCCTGAGACCACCCTGCTTTCAGAATCTGTGTGACCCACCCGGTGGGGACTCTCCGGCGGCACTTGGTCCCCTGTCAGTTGCACCAGTAGAAACCGACCTTCCTGGGCGCCTGCTGTGGGCTCTGCGGGCATGAGACTGGCCTCCACGGCCGCGGCCCGGGGCCAGCCCCCCTCCACGGAAGAAAGGTGGAGGCCCCGCGAGCAGGGACTGGCCCAAGGCCCCGAGGAGGGACTTGCCAGTGGGGGCTGCGAGGTCTGTCCCGGAGCGCGGAGTGGCCCTGCCTGGACGGCACCCGCCCTGCGGCTGGGCCAGAGGCTCCGCTCCTCTGTCAACCCGCGCCTAAGCCCGGCCGCCCTCCTGCCGCCTCCCAGCGGCCTTCTCCCCAGAGAAGGGCAGGGGACCCCCTAGGCCCCAGCCGTCCAGCTGTTCCCTCTGTCCCCTCTGCCACTACACCCTGGCCTGAGGACACACGGGCCGGCTTCATCCCAAGTCAGGTCTGCAGGCCCGGCCAGCGCCAGTCTCCTGTGGCAGCTTGGCCCTGCTGCCCTGGCGGGCGGCGGCGGAGCCACGGCTGGAACCAGGGCCGGAGCCACAGCCGGAGCCACGGCCAGGCCAGGGCCAGGGCTCCTCCCGCCTCGGCTCATGGAGGGTGAAGTCAGAGTCGGCTAGAGGAAGGGGACCCGCTCCCAGGTCACCTCCAGATGTGCTGGCCAGGGACTGCTGCGGCCAGTCAGGACAGCTTCCCCGCCCTGGGACCTCACACACACGCACACATATGCTCACACACATGCTCACACACTGCTCACACATGCCCATACACACTCACACACTCATGCATATATACATGTACACATACTACACATACACTGCACACACTCACAATGCCCTCCACATGCACACACACATACACTCTCAAACACACTCACAGGCACACACATGCACTCACATACACATGCTCACAATGCCCCCCACTCACACTCTGGCCATCCAGAGACCTCACACTCCCTCACACACTCCCACATACACATACACGTGCCCCCACATGTACGCTCACATTGACACGCACACTCGTGTACACACTCATGCACACATACACTCACGCATAGCCACACATACACAGCACTCACATGCTCACACACAGCACATACACAAACTCGCTCACACTTACACATGTGCACACACACATCCTCACACATACACAAATACACTCACACACATGCTCATGTGCACATGCTCCCTCATGCCTACACACACACACACAGGCTCACGCGCACACATGCACACCCCGCACGCACATGCCAGGTGGCTCCTCAGCCCCTTGGCCCAGTCGCAGCCAGAACCAGGCAGCAGTGCCCAGTGGATGCTGGCTCAGCACCTCCCCTCGCAGTGCCACATGCTGGAGACGGGTGACTCCACAGCGGCTCAGGGGCACTGTGAGGACAGGTGGTCAGGGCGGACCTCTGAGAGCACACGGTTAATTCAGGCCTGAGAGACAGGCAGGGCCACCCAAGCAGGGGGTGCCAGGCACTGGCCCCATGGAAACAGAGTGACCTGGCCACTGTGGAGGAACCCAGGGGATGGAGGATGGCTGTGGGATGGGGGCAGCGGGGAGGGCTGGGTGGAGGTGGCAGTGCAGGACACCCGGTGCCGGACCTGGTGCAGGGTTGTTTCCATTTCACGATCGGAACAAGCGAGGGAGCCCAGGGAGGCGGTGCTTGTCTGAGATGGCACTGCAGCGGCCACCTCGAGTGAACACGCATGAACACGTGCACACACATGAACACGTGCACACACGCGCTGATAGAGAAAAGTGTGAAAGGGCACCAGAGGTCACAGAGGGTCGTGCCGGGCTCTCCGAGGCCTACGTAGCATTTTTTAAAGTGCGGGTTTATTGCTGGCATGAATAAAACCACAGCCTTTGCATAAAATTGGAATGTCTTTTTAAAAAATAATAACGTCTAACATTTAATGAGCTCCCTCTCCCTCTCCCTCTCTTTCCTTCAGTGCTGGAGATGGCACCCAGGGCCTTGCACGTGCCTGGCAAGCGCTCTGTCTCTGAGCCACACCCCAGTGAGCTCGTAATATGAGCTAAGCATTCAGCTTCTTTAATAAGGAGCTGTTGTCCGTTTTACAGATGAGAAAGTTGAGGCTAATAGGAATTAAGCAACTTGGGGAAAGGCACCTGGCTGGGGAGAGGGGGACTTGGATTCTAACCAGAGTCTGACTCCGGACAGCTTTTTCAGTTGGAACCTCTGCACTTGAGGCCTTGGGCTGGTTGGTCCCCGTGGGTCTGGACCCAGCATTCCTCGGTCTCCACCTGGTCCTCTGCACCTGCCTGGCCCCTGGAGCCTTCCGAATCCCAGTGTTCATCAACTATCAAAGTGAGCCTTGGGGCCATTCCAAAAAATGTGTGTGTGTGTGTGTGTGTGTGTGTATATATATATATATATATTTTTTTTTTTTTAAAGAGAGAGAGAAGAGAGAGAGAGAGAGAATTTTTAAAATATTTATTTCTTAGTTTTTGGTGGACATAACATCTTTTGTTTGTATGTGGTGCTGAGGATCAAACCCAGGCCGCATGCATGCCAGGTGAGCGCGCTACCGCTTGAGCCACATCCCCAGCCCCAAATGTGTATATTTTTTGCCCTGGGGATTGAAGCCAGGGCACTCAACCACTGAGCCACATGCCCAGCCCTTTGGATTTTGAGACAGGGTCTCACTAAGTTGCTGAGGGTCTTGCTGAGTTGCTGAGCCTGGCCTTGAGAACTTGAGATCCTCCTGCCTCAGTCATCCGAGTTGCTGGGATTACCGGTGTGCGCCACCATGCCTGGCTAAGAAATTCCGTTCTTAATGATCATTTTTTTAAAAAGGCTTTGAAATATGACAGACGTGCTTTGAGTGTCTTCTCTACTGCTTCCTGGCTATGTGACTTTGGTTGGGCAGGTGACCCAAACTCCCTGTGCCTCAGTTGTTCTCCTCTGTAAAATGGAGGCTAAAGAGAGGGTTCCTGTGGGAGAAAGCCACAGGACACCAGCAGGACCAGGCAGATCTGGCAGAAGCTGCCACCGTTACTGTTCGGGCATCTGCAAGCGTCTCCCCACCGAGCAGGCTTTGCCAGGCCCTGCAGGGAGGCCGCGGGGCCTGGAGGAGGGAGGCCGGGGCCAGTGGTCAAGGGCCTGGTGGCCCTGCCAGCTGAGGGAGCTCGACCAGGAATGTGCCCCAGGCCGCTGCAGACGTGGCTTCATGGACTCTCTGTCTCTCTGCCAGGCCTTCGTCAGGATGGTTGGGCACCACGCTGCCCTCCTGGAAGCCCACGTGCGTCAGGCCGAGCGGGACCACGGGGCCTTCCCGCAGGCCCTGCGGAGGTGGCTGGGCTCCGCCGGGTTCCCCTCCTTCAGGAATGTGAGTATCTGCCCCCCAAAGTGAGGAGGGCTTCTCCCTGCTTCCTCCCAGACCCCCGAGCGGGGGAGAAGGCTCAGGAAGTAGAGTTCAAAGGGCAGTTTCCCTTCAGCAGACAGGAAGTGGTCTGCCTGGCCCCAGGGCTGTGGGCGCTCACCTGGCCTCCCTTAGGCACGGGCCTCTCTGTGCCCTGCACCTCAGCTGCAGTGCTGTGCCTGCTCACACAAAGCCCCCAAAATTTATTAAGCGCCTACTGTTTGCCAAATTCTGTGCCCCACCTGGGATTACCACGGGAAGCAGAAGTAGCACCCCCCACTCTGTCCATATAAACTAAGGACGATGACAAGGGCCACATCCAGGACGAGGCCAGGATGGGCCTCGTGAGACTGCGTGAGTCAGCCTGAAGCAGGCGGAGGAGCCCGGAAGGTGGCCGTGTGCAGAGGTTCCACATCCTGTTCTGACCTGGAGTCTCCCTACGACCCCCTGAGGATGGAAGGATCGTTGTGTCCCTTTTTCTGATGCAAAAATGGAGGCCAGATGGAACCTACAATGAAGACTTCACCATCACACATACCACCTACTGACCCTCAGGCCCAGGGGACATTCGTCCACCACTGGAGACAGTCGGTCAGTACATTATGGCCGGGGTGCTTTAGCCATGTGCCGTGGAGTCCCCGGGTGCTGATCAACACCCCTCAATGCGCAGCAGACTCCCGCCCCACTGTCAGGGTGCCGAGCGCCCTGGGGTGAGCTGGTCTGTGCGCCGCTTAGGGCTCATGTCGGTGTGTCCTGTGCCGCTTCCTGGGGCACTGGCTTCTCTCAGCGGCCTTTGAGAAAGGGCCCTTTGTTGTCACACCTGTCCTACAGTTGGGGAGACCCACTAAGACCCAGGGACGGAGGGCTTGCCTGAGGACACTAGCTGTAGTGGCTGGGGCCTGGTTGACCTTTCCCAGCCTTGCCCCTGGGGACAGGCACCTGCCCCACCAGCTGCCTGTCGCCCTCTGTCTACAGCGCGCCAGGCCCTGCGGGCACCCAGTGTGCACCTCGCGCCCCTGCCCAGCTGTGGTGAGTGTCACCCACCCCACAGGGGAGCGGAGCCCCTCAGCAGCCCTGGCACAGAATTGGGCCTTTGTAGGCTCCCGGGGGCCAGGCTGCAGTGACTGTGAGGCCTGAGCTGTCCCCCGGTAGCCATGCTCCGGGCCCGGGCCCCGGCTCCCAGCTCAGCTTCCTGTCGTCTGGCACCCGCCAGGGACACCTGCCCTCACCTGGCTGCCTCCAGAGCTCAGAGAGGGCTGCACAGTGGCCTCATGGATTGCAAGGTCCAGGGTCCCCTCTGGATCCCTCTGAGACGGAGTTCACACCACTTCCTGCCTCTCTCCAACTCCCGCCTTCTACCTTCTGATGACAATGAAGTCATGGGCTGCTTTTGTCCTGCCTTCCTTGAGTCACAGCGAACGTTCCTAGGTGACCAGGAGCCCAGCCTGCCCACTGACTGCTTTAGAGGCACACCATGGGGAGAGGATGGTGACCTTGGCATGGCCTCCTGCAGCCCTCTTGACAGCAGGTACCGAGTGGGGGCTCTTGGCTCTGCCCTTCCCCTCCCCTCTAGTCCGTGGTCTGCAAGGTTTCACCGGCCTTCCATGGACAGACGGACGGGCCAAGGCTGCAGGGGGAGGTCAGTGCTGGGCTGGGAAGCCAGGCCTTTGGGTGCCCCAGCTGCTGCTGCTGCAGGGTCCATGGTGTCTGGACGGGCTGGGACCTGTTCCCGCTCACCTCCACCAGACTGCAGCGCTGGAGCAGGGGCCCAGGCAGGCCTACCTGTGGTGACTTGTTCCAGGAAGCTCGTCCCCAGGAGGTGAGTCATTCAGCAACCGGGGCTGAACTTGGCCCCACCAGGCTCCTCTGGGGGAGGGGTGGGGAAGTGTGTGGGCCGAGGGTTCCCCGGGAGCAGGCTGCAGGGGCCCCCCACCCCCTCTTTAAGTAGGTCTGCTCATTGCTGCTGCCTCAAAGGTGGGGGAACGAGGCCGGAGGGTCTTGTGGCCCAGGCAGGAACGAGGTGCAGGGACCCAGGGCCCAGCTCTGCTCCCAGTGCTGAACTTGCCACCAGAGAGGAGCAGAACCTCCGGATGGCTCTTCCGTCCCTCCGTCTGTCCTTATTCCCAAAGCCAGGATTCCGCGTCTGGGATCTGTCCGGGTCTGGGGTCTGTCCGCAGTGCCTTCTGCTGGGCGGGATTCACACCCAGGCAGCCTGAGGGGCCCAGGCAGGGTTGGGTCCCCTGGGTCATTTCCCTGGGGCTCAACTGTCCCCCAGGGCTTAGCTCCTGCCCCCCACCTCCCCACCCTGGAGGCAGGTCTTGCCCTGCGCCCCTCCCTGCGCTCCCCTTCCCCACAGCCCTCCCCCAGCAGGTGTGGGGACCCTCCTGCAGCCCGGAGGGAGAGGCCTCAGCCTTCACCCTGGAGCCTGCGGGCCTCTTGGGGGTGTCCGCCTTTCCTGCTCTTTCATCAGCTGGAAGGGGAGTTGGGGGTCGGGGACCGGGGACCAGGGAAAACTGGTCTAGTTCTTTCCGACCCCGGCGCTGGTTCCCAGCCCCTCCTTCCCTCCCCTCCCTCCCTCTGCAGTTGCAGCGGGGAGGCCCGGGTCCCCCAGCGCCCCAGGCACAGAGCACGGAAGCCGTCCCCCGCCATCCCAGCACAGGGGTCCCGGCCCCCCACCACCATGGTATGATCTGGGGCTGGGAGAGGCCTGGGCGGCCCCGAGGGGTGTGATGGCCAGGGTTCCCTAGGGAGGTCCCCTGCTGAAGCCTGCGCTTCCCTCTGCCTTTGAGCCTGAGGGAGACACGCAGGGTCCAGTGGCCTGGCACGTGGCACTGAGGCACAGGAAGGGGCCGTCCCCACTGCACAGTGGACATGCTCTCCTGGTCAGCAGCCCGTGTCCTCCTGCTGCCCCATGTCAAGGTCCAGTTTTCAATGATGCATCCGCACGGCCCCTCAGTGTGCGAGCCTCCAGCCAGGACTGACCTCCCTGTCCACCCCGGCCTCCATCCGCGAGATCTGCGACATCTCTGATCTCCGGTCTCCGCCAGCGTTATCTCCTGGGCCCGAGGGCTTAGCTGTCAGCCTGTCACCTTGGAGGACAGCGTGTCTGGGGGGAGAATGTAGACGCTGACCGAATCCTAAGAACATCCGGTGGCCAGCTGCCCCCGGGGGCCCTGGCTTGCTGGTTGAGAGGTTGGAGAGCCCTGGGGAGGGGCCCTGGAGGCCAGGAGCTGGATGAGGAGGACACGCCGTCTGGGGCCAGGAGAGGGGTGCTCCTGGCAGAGGGACCTGCAGGGGCTCTGGGGCCACGGGGCTTGGCGCTTGTGCAATAGCAGGAAGTCCCCGCAGGCTGGCCTGGGGGCAGCGGGTCAGGGAGGTGGCAGGCGCCAGATCCTACAGGTCTAAGGCCACAGAGAGGAGTCTAGCACTGTCCGCAGGGGCCTGGGGAGGGTGTGTAGCAGGGTGGCTTGGTCGGCTCTGCTTGCTGAGCCAAGGGGGCAGCGGACGTCACTGTCCCGTGAGCCTCAGATGTGGACGCTGAGTGGCGCCGGCCGAGCCGTGGGGTGCTGTCCTGGGGAGTTTCCTCAGCCTGAAGGGTCCCTGCTGGGCCTTGAGCTCCGTGAGAGCCTCACCCCAGGGGGTCTGGGACCCTCTTCCCACCAGAGGGAGAAAAGAGCCCTGGGGGGGGCTCCAATCAAGCACCAGTGTCCCGGGCGCTGTCCCGAGGGAAGCTGCGGCCTGGCCCCGCACACCAAGCCCCCATCTGGAGGTGGCTCCAGACCTGTGCAGAGGGGACCATGGGAGACTCTGAACCCTAAGGGAAGCCTCAGCAGATGCCCCAGGCCTGTCCCAGCCAGGGCCCAGCCCTCCCGTGGCACACGCGCCCGGAGGCGCAGGGCAACCTGGCTAATCTGCCGCGGACCACTGTTTGTTTTCTGCGGGCCAAAGTGTCCACGAGGCGTCATCGGGATGGAGTTTCCCGATGGAGAGGAATGTGGTGCTTTCCAGGGAGGCTCTTGGGCTAATAGCGGAACCAAGTGAGGCTGCGTCCCTCCATCCTGCTGGGCAGATGGATGGCGTCCTGGCCTCCATGCCTGGCCCACCTGCTCACCCCTCCCCCAGCAGGGCCAGCAGGGGCCCGGGGAGGCGGGGGGGCGGCTCAGACCTGCCCAGGACAGGCATTCAGAGGAGCTGGAGGGAGAAGGAGCTGGGCCCCCAGGCAGGGCAGGGAGGAACCGCAGGAGATTTACCCACAGGTGCCCAGGGGGCCATCGGGTCACAGAAATGAGTGTCTCCAGCGCAGGGCAGGAGGGAGTACTGGGGCCGTGGCAAATTGCACCCCTCATCTAAGGGGTACAAATTGCTTGGCACCAGCCTTGTGTAATTGGGGACCAAAGGTGGCTAGATTTTCCTATTTGCGGGAGAGAGCTGGACATTTGGGGTTGATATGACTCTTCCAGTGTCTTAAAGTCAGCAACCAATTTTTCTAAATGCTAAACATCATGGGGAAAATCTGTCGTAGACATGGTCTTACTCAGCACCTTCCCCAGCTTTGCATTTTAGGTGGGCGACCTGTCCCCCTCAGGCCCCACCCATTTGGAGGCCTCTGAGACCAGGGAGGTGTGGGAGGGCAATGCACCAGCTGCAGCGGGGCCCTGCAGCCTTTAGCAGGAGCCAAACTAAGAGCCGCCTGGCAGCCAGCAGTTTCATTGAGCTTCTACTACCCAAGAAGGGCTTCCTGTGCCTGGCCTCAATGTCCTATGATAACCCCCAAAGTGGACATCGTGTTCCAGTTTATAAGAAAGGGACCTGAGTATCAGAGAGTGTTGTCCACTTGCCCAGGGCCACACAGTGCAGGTTACAGAGCCTGGATCTGACCCAGCCTTGAGCTTGTTCTCTGTGTTTCTTCCAACCTGTCCTCTTCCCCTGGGCGGGCTGCAGCCCTGATGCCTGGGGTTGCAAATTAG